TATAAAGATAATATGCTTACTGGGTAGTTTTCATTCCTCTTTATGAGATTAACATGAACAGCGGTTTTCCTGTCCGAGGGTTCCAGCTCTTTAGGGCACTCCGATTTCCCGATGCTCTGCAGTAAAGTATTTGCTTACAGAATGTCAACAATCCAAGAGCTCCACTTCTATTATATGAAAATTCGCCATTTGCACACACAAATGAAGAAAGCCGGAGAGATTAAAAAGGTGTCTCAAGAAATGTTTCAAAAAGCTGAAACTTCAGCAAAATTAAACCGATTTATGTTGCATCACTCTACTTTAAGGGTGCAATTGGATTTTGTTGGAAAATTTTTATTTCAGTAGAGAAGAATTTTAGGCAAGAAAAATGAATAATTTGAAAATTATGATTGATGATGAAATGGAAAATAATGATTAAAGTTAATGTGATGTAAAGTAATAGAAAATTAGTAAATAGTTTTAGAAGTATGTGAGTGTATGAATAGTAATTTCATGGTAAGTTGTGTGGTGAAAAATGATTTCTATATAATTATTATTTTATTAAGATTGAGGTGGGAAAAAGTGAGATGAGAGTGTACTTAGAAAATCTTCTCTAGTGTGAAGAAAATGCCTTCTATTTCATATCCAACCGCAGCCTTAGAGCAAATTCAATGCTTGAGTCTAGTTGAGGAAATGTCTAGTTCCATAAAAAAATTTGAACTTTACTTTTAAAAATACTCTTCAATGCAAACAAAAAAAGACTGTCTAGATGATGTGACGTGAAAAAACAGACTAGGTCTCCACTTGGGTACAATTTGATACATGGGTCTAGATCCAATGTCTCCCATAAAAATTAGCATTTAAACAAAACCACTCATATTTCAAAATATCGCATTGGGTTGAGTATGGTCATTTCTCCATATCATTCAAGACATAAGTCTATTAATATGACAACCAAGCAAAATTAGACCCAAAGCATCATTGATGCTCTTACTACCTCATCATTCTATCTGGCATTGGCATTGCATGTTACCTGAATAAAAGGACCATTTTCTGGATCATCCAACCTCCTCAGAGGGCCATCATTAACAGTAAAACCATTTCTCCAGAAAACAATGTTGTGTACAACTGATCCAGGCTGCTGTGAACTTGGTGCAGTCTCGCCTGAAAGCAATCTTCCGGTCCCAGTAAAGCTTCTAGAGCTTGCAGATGGTTGATCTTCCAGGGGTCCTTGAACAGCACCTTGCTGTCGGGCTTGATCAAAGATTGCATCAACATCATTACCCTTAGATGGATCTTGGACAAGCATTCCACTGCAAAAGTAACATATCATATTAACAGTCAGCTAACGAATTTGACCACTAAAAGACTACCTATCAGATAAGTGAAGACATGGTAATGATCACAACTTAAATATCAGACTGACTAATGGCACCTGAAAATTTCAACAACCATTCACAAGCAATGCAACTATAACACCAACAGACATACATAAAATGCATCAAGTCATACCCGTATGCATTTCAATCCATACATTTGAAGATTTTAAATAAAGGAAGCTCCAAAGATGCAAGGTAAAATCCAGCAAAAGCCGAATGAGCCAAGTCAATGTATACGACATAATTGATGTGAACATCTAAAATAAACAGGACAATCCTAAGTAATTCTAACCTTCTTGGCCGTAACTTCACTTTCATATACTAATCGCAATCAAAGCAACCATCTTTGATCGACAAACGCAACCTGAAATATTAAATCCTACACAGATACACACCGTGTAATCCGATCCGTGCACGAAAAGGGGAAACCAAAAATCTCCAGCAATACATTCGTGAAACACGTAAACAGAGGAGTCCACTCCAACCAAGAGACGGTAATATCAAAAAATGAGCCGAATTACAAAACATCAGACATCGATTTGAATCCCCGAAAACACAACTCGATTGAAATTCACAGCAAGCAAGAAAAAAAAAAATCAAATAAAAACAACCTAGGTTTTGGTCAATAAACTAGAAAATTGGGGGAAATTAACGGACGAGAACCTCTTCTCGCCGCCGGTGTAGTACTCCTGAGGCCCATCGGAATCACTATCGGAGTCGTGAGCGGTGGAACGGTTCAGATCGGAGAGGGTACGGATTCCTCCGGGCCTGCTGCCAGAGGGTTTTGCGGGCTTCTTGTCGCGCGAAGACATTTTTCTCGATTTGGGGAAGACTGAACACTTTGGATGGTGGAGAGCAAAATGGTTGGATCTAGAATCTAGTTTACATGTTACATGCCATTTATTAATTACATAATAAATTACTTTTTTTTTTTTTAAATGAACCTTTCGGTTTCTGGATCCACAAGGAAACCGACTAATCCAGAATCAAACCGGGTAGGATCACAAAGGCGGCAAAGCTCTGCCTCAAGAATTACTTTTTAATTTCTCATGAAAAGTATCACTAATAATGTGTACATAACAGCCAAAAAGAAAATAAAAAAATAATGTGTGCATACACAAATCTAAATAAAGTATTAAGTGTCCGTTTGGTTGAAATTTAGTATTGTGCTTGATACCATCTCTTTCTGGCTCTAGTGATTTTCAGTCTTTTATATCTTTCTCATAGTCTTGTTTGGTTAAGTGGTACATATCCAACCCATTAAATCAATATTTTGTTTGGTTGATGATGTGTAAGAATGTAGTAAAATGTTATTTCCACTATTGACCCTATATTGTCTTTTAAATTGCTTTCAAACAAAAAATAATAAATAATATAAAAATTTGTCGTAGAAGAAAAAATTTACTTGGAGAAATTTAAAAAGAAAAAAAAAATCTCCAACAAAAAAAAAAGCATCTCCATGTAATCACATTAAATACAAGATTTGTAGTAAATAATGGATATTAAGCATAATTCAATCCAAAATGTGGAAATTGAATGTGTGCAGTACATTCAATCAACTTTCTGATATTAAAATTACACAAAGTTAATGTTCACTATATCATATTAACTTCACAAGAAGCAAGATTTCTATAAAAACAACAAATACGTAAACATTTTTCCACCTATCATTAGGGAATTGAAAAAATGTGCAGTTACATAAACCAACTGCCTATGTGGATCTTTAATGATGGTTGCATTCAAAGCAACATACCACATAATTATTAATCTTCAAAGACAAAGTCAAGTCACAAAATGCTCCAATACAGATAAATGAATCTAAAATTTAACACCACAAAACAAGAGAGCCTTGTATAAGATAAGACAATAAAATTACATATCTACATTTTGATCTTAATGATAGTTCTCGTTACCAAGATCATAGACCACCAATGTGTTCTTTTGCAGAAAATGGACAATGGCTTATCACTAGCTCTTATGGACAAGCACCCGATAGCCTTACCCTATTCAATAGAGTAGTTATGGCACGACAATTCCGGGGTAGGAGCATGAACTTCAGAAACTGAATTCCCCCCACGTGGCCGCTTGGGAGTTTGAAGCAGAGCTCGAAGTCGAGGGTTCGATTGGTTAGTGGAAGCCTGAGGTGGCAGGAGAATTCTCGCTTGATACCCTTGAATGTGCTATTCTCCCGGTGTTGTCCATGTACAAGAGATTGTAATTGCAAGATGCAAACTTTCAATTTATGATAAAATACTAGCTGATTTCACCCCTCACCCTTCACATGGACCAATTGGAAATATAGAACTCTAGACTAATATAAAAAATTGTCTTTACTAACAACTAACTCATATAGTTTCCACTTGTCATACCAAACATTTGTTACATTAAAATGAATCAGCCCACATTATTCATGAAAAGGTCTGTAATCAAGACTAAACAACAAAACATATAAACAAGTCCTCAATGTTCCAAGACGGGGAAAGATACTAACACCGATGCACAGATCCGCTAAATACACTCCCTTCCCACTATAGTTAGTGGGAGCTTCATAGTTAATGGGGCAACCTTTATGGCTGCTTGAAGCCATTGTAGCCTCTTTCTAGTTCGGTCTAGAGCCAGCTACAAGAAACATTATCTCTATAAA